CGATCAAACAAAATGTGATCAAGCAATATGTGACTAATTCAATCGTGGTTTTGCCCCTATTTTGACAAGGTAGTGGTCGATCCATAAGGAGCAGCCACCTTATTGGGATTACGGACCATCACAACTACCACATGGTGGAGTTTTCCAACCAACGAATATGTTGATTCTATAGGCTTTTATTTATCCTTTCAGTGATGATCTGAGTTAAAATTTCGGTTCCATTTTTGACTTTTGCTTTTAAATTAGTTTTTCCTTAAGGTTCTAAGTAGGCAAGTCACACATTACTCTTTCTCTTCATGTTATGTTGCTTTCAATACCACAAATCCAGATAAAAGTGGGGAAATATTATCAAATTGATAAACATGAATTGTGTCACTCAGGGTAAGTGAGATTCTCCAAGTCCCTTTAAAAAATATAACTCCTTTTGTTTTCACATGAAAACCATTGATGCTTCTTAGTTTTTTTTTTTAGTTTCAAATCTACATTAGAAACGAATGTCGGTTCTTATTACTCAATCTCTGGTTGACTGGGGAACAAGAAACAAATTGGCCAATCATTGAATGCAAGAAATCACTTTCTTACTCTGGGCAAGAACACCGGCATGCTTTTGATCTAAGTTACTAATATCGTGTTCATGGTTTTTCTAGAATACAATTTTGATGGGTGGGGGATTGTAACATTAGAAAACGAACCAGCTTTTATCCTTATCTATAACAACATTGGAGGATAATTATTCCCAAGATCACTTATTTCATTTCAATGCACTCTCTATTCAGTTACATATTTGAAACAAAGAAAATAAAATATAGTGAAAAAAGAAAGACTCGACTTCATATCGGTTTTCATGATCTATCATTTTGTTTCTCCTTTTCCCTTACGTATATCATAGTTTTCTCCCCTTACTACAAGATGGGTGTACTTTTTCCAACCTCTCCTCAAGAAAGGGGTCTCCTCATACCATATAGTGTGTTTTCATGTACGTTGAAATGGTCACAGATAAAGCACTTACCTCAAAATTGATATTGAAATATATACATAGGAGACTAAACCCGGGCGTGCGCGGGTATCGACCTAGTATTGTATAATTTTTGGTTATTTACTTAATTAACTCTTTTTATAATACATCTGACAATTTTGCAAATTTTCCTTTTGATTCACCAACAAAAGAAAAGAGTTAGAGGAGCATATAGTCATTACGATTTAATGATCTTTATATATTTATTAGGTAATTTTCAGATATTCTTGCAAATGGTATCCGCAATCTGTTTTAAGTCAACATCTTTGAATCATTTATTAGATAATTAAAAAAAAGGATGAAAGATCACAGATTACATAACAAACTCTAAGAAGAAGAGTTGATAAACCATTATTGCGATCAAGCAGCTTTCATGTCGTCCAGACCAACACTAGCCTGCAAAAAAATAAACAAGAACGAAAGAATCAGAGCCTGTGATGAAACTGAAAGAAACTGTGATGATTTAAAGTACTGTGATGATTTAAAGTCTTTGTTTACCAGAAACTTATGATTATCTAGAAGTAACGGACCAAACTCGGCGCAAAACCTTTCCATGTCAGCGTAAATGTCACCAGAACCAGCTATGACATCCAAGAACTTCTTCCTCTCTGGAGCCAGCTTTATAGACATCTGATTAAAAAAGTTTACGGTTTATGAGATTGGTTTCCAGAAGATGTTGATCGAATAGTGAAAGGAGATAAAACATACGGTGAAACTATAGCTAGCAATCCATCCGTGCCATTTCTTGATTGTTTTTTGGTATGAGTCACTACAAGCTTGTGACATTGACCAGTCTTGATGTGCTACAAAGTTACGGAGCAACTCCACTATGAAATCCATCCCTCTGTAAGAATCAATCATAAGTGATATATATATGTTTTTTTTAAGAAGAAACTCTCTTCGAAATAAGGTATGTATCGTTTACAAGGGGATATTTTTTACCTGGTCAACCAGAGAAGACCGTTGGTACAACTAGACGATCCTTTTGCTGTCTTAGACTGAATTTCGACTTGTACAAAGGTGTACAAGTACTTGAACTTGTCGGGATCCGACAAGTAGTTATTCTCCAACCTCTACACAAGATACGGACAATTAATTTAATATCGCAAGACAAATAGTCCAATGCTCAGATGTCATGTTGCTAGTACTGGAGATTTTCACTAGCCTATTCTCCGCTATCAGAGGTACACACTACTATGTAAGGGGGTAGAACAGGGCCAGGCAGTGCAATATTCGACTATCAAAATTGTTGGAGTTAGAAGAGAGTTTACCGATATGTTGCCACCAATGTCAGATTTCACGATGGTCATAGCAACTCCAAACTTATCTGGAAAGGATATACCAAAGAAAACAAAGTCATGAAACAGGAACACATAACATTTGTATGAGTCCTACATTTTATAAGAACAACGGTCAACCACAAGATATACAGGAGCTTATAGTGTACATACACAATCAACAGTCACAAAAAGGTGTCAAAACTCAACCAAAATTATTTAGACTGACGAAGGAATAGCAGAAAAGTTTCTCCATTTGTTACCAACAACAGGCAAGATCGTCTTGCAGAGCTCGAGAAATGGCTTAGTAAGCATCTCGCCATGTTCAGTTTTGACATGCTTCATTTTTTCCAAACAAGCCGTGACCACAGTCCCTTCCATCTTCAACTTTGACCAACTGAAAATGCAAACAAACGCAACGAACAAGAGAGGAAAACCAGATAATACATTTCGCTGATTGGAAACAAACACACATCCACATTACTCAATGAACTATGGATGATCAATGACCACCATCTTC